TCCATTGATGGGCGCCTAGGTTGCTTCCATCTTTTTGCTATTGTGAACAGTGCTGCAATGAACATGGGTGTGCATATATCTATTCGTGTGACGGTTCTTGTTTCTCTAGGATATATTCCAAGGAGCGGGATAGCTGGATCGTATGGTACTTCTATTTCTAGCTTTTTAAGGAAGCGCCAAATCGATTTCCAAAGTGGCAACAGGCTTTTGATACCATTAAAACAAAGGTGATAGAGGCTCTGGACTTAGGACTCCCCGATATGAATAAATCTTTTGACCTGTTTATAGATGAGTTCACTGGAGTACTTACTCAGACTCTCAGGACTTGAAAGCGGCCGGTGGCATACTTCTCAAAGCGGCTAGACCCAGTCGCCAGAGGATAGCTGGTGTGCCTTTGGGCAATAGCAGCAGCAGCAGCAGCAGTAATCATCAAGGAAGCCGAGAAATTCACCCTTGGCCAACCTCTCTGGGTGACTGTGCCCCACTTGGTTCTGCGCATCTTAGAGCAGAGAGGGTTGTATTGGATCTCCTCAGGGCGAATGGCCCAGTACCAAGCAGTACTGTTACACGACCTGGTCATCACCCTACAAGAAACCGCTGGTTTAAACCCAGCCACCCTACTGCCCACCTTGCCAAAGCAAGAAAAAGAACATGGTTGCCTGAAAACCACTGACCTGGTGTATGCCAGTTGGCCTGACCTCACTGTCCAGCCACTCTAAAACCCAGACCTTGAACTGATCACTGATGGAAGCATTTACATAGAACAAGGAGAAAGAAAAGCTGGATATGCAGTGGTCAGTTTGAAGTTGGTTCTAGAGGCTAATGCACTTTCCCCAGGTACCTCTGCCCAGAAGGCCGAGCTCACTGTGATACTGCAGGCCCTTAGAAAAATCACTAAAGGTAAGCAAGCAACTATTTATACTGATACCACAATCATATTTGGGGTATTGCATGCACATGGGGCAATCTGGAAGGAAAGAGGGCTCCTAACAGCAGTAAGTAAGGACATTAAATATTCTCAAGAGATCTTACAACTTCTACAAGCCATACTACCCAAGCAGCAGTAGTACCCTGCAGTGGGCATCAGAAAGGGGACACCATGGTGGCCAAGAGTAATTACAAAGCAGATGCAGCAGCAAAGAAAGCTGAAATCCAACAGAAACCTATCATAGTAGCCTCACTAATTCCCCATTTGGAGTTACCACCACCTGAACTCCACCCAGACTATTCCAAGCAAGATAAATACTTTGCCAAGACCTGGGGGGCCACTCTAAACAAGGATGGATGGCTGTACACCCCCCATGGAAAGATTTTTATTCCATCAAAACACATGCACACTATCCTACAGAGAAGCCACCAGTCCATCCATTATGGATGCGATGGACTATATGATTGGGTTAAGAAACATTTAATTGGACCAAAGGTCCATGCCACTATTTCAGCAGTGGTAAAGAGCTACCCCACCTGCACACCCAGGGATCCAGCAAACTGGGGCAATGCCTGGAGATGACTGGCAGGTGGATTTCACTGAGATGCCTCGAGCTCCTGAGAATTACAAATATCTGTTAGTCTTTATCGACACCTTCACTAACTGGGTTGAAGCTATTCCTTGCAAGACTGAAAAGGCCACAGAGGTTGTGAAGCACCTCCTGAATGAAATCATCCCTCAATTCAGGCTTCCCATCCCCACTGGCAGCAACAACGGGCCCCATTTTGTGGCCTTGGTGGTGCAATTGGTGGCAACCACCCCAGATATTAGTTGGAACTTACGCACAGCCTGGAGACCCCAGCTGAGTGGTAAAGTAGAGTGGGCTAACCAGACTCTGAAGAGACACCTAGCAAAGCTGTGCAAGACCAAGTTGGTATGGACAAAGACACTGCCTATGGCCCTCTTGAGAGTTCAGTCCGCTCCTAGAGGTAAATTAAAACTTAGTCCATTTGAGCTATTATATGGGCACCCTTTATTAAAGAAGCCCAATATGACCAGCAAAGTTTATCTTAATGATGACCAACCTCCCTCCATCCATGAGGTTGGAGATGTTCAAGTTATTAAATACATGCAGTCCCTTTGGGCAACTCTGTCTTCTCTCCACAGATACACTCACCTGAGGAGACCGCCTGCGCTAGAGGTGCCCTTCCATTCATTCCAGCCTGGTGATTGGGTCCTTCTCAAGGTTTGGAAAGCCAACCCCCTTCAACAGAAGTGGGCCAGCCCCTTTGAAGTTCTCTTGGATACCCCGACAGCTGTCAAACACAAGGGACTCAAAGCTTGGATCCACCATACTTGAGTAAAGAAAACCACCCTGCAGGACGCTGAGGAACAAACTCATCACAACTGTGAGAACTGGACTTGTGAGCCAGTCAAGGACATTAAGTACTTGTTTTCCTGACACCCTCCTGCATAGGTGAGATCTTCCAAAGACTCTTAACACTGCTAATAACCTTGGTGCTAGTATTCTGTTTCCTATATCTGTATACTTTACTTGAACAGGTTAAATTGCTATAGACCTTTGAGTGAGCAGAATCAACCATGAACAGGGTGATGTGGTTATTCCTAGGAGTCACCCTATGTGTAAATGCTGGATGGGATTTCAACATTCTTAATAGGTTGCACCAGGCAGTTGTAAACCATATTACATGGGCTAACAATTGCTGGATTTGTTCACACTTCCCTTTGTACGTACGGCAAGGATTACCCATCATCCTTGTACCTCTCCATCCAACTTACTGGCTATAAGAAGAGGGAGCACAATTAACAAATAAAAATAAAACCCTAGGCAGAGTCCAACATACCACTGTAAGGTCTGACTATCCAGCAGCTTGCTGCATACAGTGGCATCCTACCCATAATACCTCAACAGTAGGTCAGTGGCCACAATGCAATACTACCTGGGTCTATGCTAACCAAACATGGACTAAATTCAATACCAACACCTATTTAAATGCAACAGCACTAGCACGGTTATATCAGAAAAACTAGGGCAAAATGTAACCGATCAAAGCATTATAAAAGCAGTCTTCCAATTTCCCCCTACAGCCTACTCATTAAGACACCAAGGACTTTATTGCTTGTGTGGACATTTAGCCTATAACACATGGTCAGCTAATCATACTGGCACATGTACACTGGGCTGGATATGGGCAGGAGGCATACATTTACTCTCCCTAGAAGAGGTTCTGTAGTCTACCAGAAGCATCCATAGATTTAAAAGAGAAACTATAGATATTACTAAGAGTGCTAGGGAAAAGGCACAGAGGGTGCCACTCCAACGCTTGGGGTTGGGAAAAATTATGATGACATTTATACTCTGTGCCAGTTTTCATTAAGGATACATCTCTGTCGCTTCAGACAGTAGCCAATACCACCAAAACCTTGACCCAGACTTTGCAGTCTGAAGTAGACTCCATTGAAGCATAGTTCCACAAAATTGAGTTGCCTTAGATCTAATGTTAGCTTCTTACAGAGTTTGTATATATATCATGCTAGCTGTTGTTCTGTAGTCAATGCACCTGGACGGAGTAAACATGACCGAGAAAAGTCGAGTTCAGTAGTAAGACTACTACAACAAGATAGTGTGACTGCTGAACAATTAATGATGTCTTCGGGTCCTGATTTTAGCTGGCTGACATCATGGTTACCCAACCTAGGATGGTTAAAATCATTGGTTGCTTTTATAGTGTTAATAATGATCATAGGTATATGCTCCTGCTATTGCATACAATGTATCCCCGTCTGCATGTCCTGTTTAAAAAGGCCAACTGTTCAAGCCTATGTCCAATATTCGCTCCTTCCTTGAGAACATGCCAAACAATTCCAAGCCAGGCTACAGTTCAGAATGGACACTGGTTCTGAATGACCAATGTCCAAAACAAGAAAAGGAAGGAATAAGGAGAGGTCTCCAAGCTGCAGAAAATTCCACTGCCTCTAGTAGCTTGCTTGGCACGCCCTGTAGCTTTACACTAGAATCCTGGTTCCCCTCTCCTAAACTGCTGCCGCAAAACTAGAGTAAACTGGTGGAAACTGGTTTAGGCATCATGTTGACATTCAGGATAACCTTTTAGCTCATTAAATACCTCATGCATAGTAGTAACCTCCTACCTCTGGGTGGAGTTTAACCACCATTTTCTGAAACGTGATGTATGAAGTTATATGCAAACCCCATTGTGCCTGCGTAGTATGATTAAGAATTTGCTGATGTAGCTTGTATGAACTTCCTACTTATAAATCCCTTAAAAGTAACCTTTCCCCTTGCCCTCACGGAGCAATCCTGGCGGCAGCAGCCCCGACTGCTCCTTTCCTTGTGCAACAAAATAAAGGTGACTTTCTACTCTCCCACCTTGGTCTCTCGTTTATTGGCTGAGACGAGTCACATTGAGCAGAACCTGGCATTTCCACCTGGTAACAACAGAACAAAACACTGCCCAGCCCTGCGCCATCCTCACAATCGCTGCGATGTTTGAGCCCATTGTTGCAGCCACTGTGTCAATCTATCTCATTGAGGGTCTTCCTCCTTTTCGATGGCCGTCTACTTTACCAAGCATGATGTCCTTCTCCAGGGACTGGTCCCTCCTGATAATATGTCCAAAGTACATGAGACAAAGTCTCACCATCCTCCCTTCTAAGGAGCATTCTGGCTGTACTTTTTCCAAGACAGACTTGTTCATTTCTTCTTGCAGTCCATGGTATACTCAATATTCTTTGCCAACACTGTTATTCAAAGGCATCAATTCTTCTTTGGTCTTCCTTATTCTCTGTCCAGCTTTCCATGCATATGAGGTGATTGAAAATACCATGGCTTGGGTCAGGTGCACCTTAGTCCTCAAAGTGACATCTTTGCTTTTTAACACTTTAAAGAGGTCTTTTGCAGTAGATTTGCCCAATGCAATGCATTGTTTGATTTCTTGACTGTTGCTTCCATAGGCATTGACTGTGGATCCAAGTAAAATGAAATCCTTGACAACTTCAATCTTTTCTCCATTTATCATGATGTTGCTTATTGGTCCAGTTGTGAGGATTTTTGTTTTCTTTATGTTGAGCTGTAATCCATACTGAAGGCTGTATCTTCGATCTTCATCAATAAGTGCTTCAAGTCCTCTTCACTTTCATCAAGCAAGGTTGTGTCATCTGTACCTCGCAGGTTAATGAGTCTTCCTCCAATCCTGATGCCTCGTTCTTCTTCATACAGTCCAGCTTCTCAGACTACTTGCTCAGCATACAGATTGAATAAGTATGGTGAAAGGATTCAACCCTGACGAACACCGTTCCTGACTTTAACCACGCAGCACGCAGTATCCCCTTGTTATGTTCCAATGACTCCCTCTTGATCTATATACAGGTTCCTCACGAGCACAATTTAGTGTTCTGGAATTCTCATTCTTCACAAAGTTATCCATAATTTGTTGTAATCCACACAGTTGAATGCCTTGGTGTCATAGTTTGAATTATGTCCCCCCAAAAATGTGTGTATCAATTTGGCTGGGCCATGATTCCCAGAATTGTGTGGCTGGCCTCCATTTTGTGATTGTAATTTTATGTTAAAGAGGATTAGGGTGGGATTGTAACACCACCCTTACGTAAGTCACATCCCTGATCCAATGTAGTTTCCCTAGGGTGTGGCCTCCCCTGGAGCTTACGCCCTGAATTTGGACTTTTAGCCTACTCTGACTGTGAGGAAATAAACTTCTCTTCATTAAAACCATCCACTTGTGGTACTTCTGCTATAGCAGCACTAGATGACTAAGAAACTTGGCATAGTCAATAAAACACAGGTAAACATCTTTCTGGTATTGTCTTTCAGCCAAGAACCATCTGACATCAGCATTGATATCCCTTGTTCCACGTCCTTTTCTAAATCTGGCTTGAATTTCTGGCAGTTCCCTGTTGATGTATTGCTGCAACGTTTTTTAATTATCTTCAGCATAATTTTATTTGCACGTGATATTAATGATATTGTCCAATAATTTCCTCATTCTGTTGGATCACCTTTCTTTGGAATGGGCACAAATATGGATCTCTTCCAGTCGGCTGGCCAGGTAGCTATCTTCCAAATTTCCTCATAATTAAATGAACACCTCCAGTGCTTCATCCGTTTGTTGAAACAACTCAATTGGTATTTCGTCAACTCCTGGAGCCTTGTTTTTCACCAATGCTTGCAGCGCAGCTTAGACTTCTTCCTTCAATACCATGAGTTCTTGATCACATACAACCTCCTGAAATGGTTGAATGTCAGCCAATTCTTCTTGGTACGGTGACTCTGTATTCCTTCCATCTTCTTTTGAGCTTCCTGTGTCGTTCAATATTTTCCCCATAAAATCCTTCAATATTGCAACTTGAAGCTTGAATTTTTTCTTCAGTTCTTTCAGCTTGAGGAATGCCAAGTGTGTTCTTCCCTTTTGGTTTTCTAACTCCAGGTCTTATAATACTTATCTTTGTCTTTTCCAGCCACCCTTTGAAACCTTGTGTTCAGCTTGTTTACTTCATTTCTTCCATTCGCTTTAGCTCCTCTGCGTTCAAGAGCAAGTTTCAGAGCCTCTTCTAACATCCATTTTGGTCTCTTCTGTCTTTTTAATGACACACTTGCATTCTTTGATATGTGATTTGTTTTTAGTTTTACATATTAACTTCTGTAAATGACTTTTTAGGGAATGTGTGATTGGACAGCATCTCCTACATTTCTCCATCTCAGACAGAGGCAAACTATACCTCTCCACTAATCTGAAGTTTTTGGTTGTTTTGTTTTGATTTTAACATTCTCCACTGTTGTTTTGTAATTCTTTTTTTATAGGTCCTTGCATGTGACAGCCCTCCATTAAATTAGTTCCAAGAAAGCAATATTCACAGTAACTTTTAAGAAAGGTAATTTCTTGTTTTCTTATTTAACAGTGTCTATTCCTATCCTTTGGTGGTGCTTATCGGAGTGGAATTCCTTTACATCCTTCATATTAGCAAAACACTTTCATAGTTTCCAAACAGCATTTGTTTTTTGTCCTACAACAGCAGTTCTCAAACTTTGGCCTTAAGATCCCTTTATGCTCTTAAAAATTACCAAGGACCCCAAAGAGCCTTTAGTAACTATCAATATTTACTTTATTATAAATTGAGACATTTTTAAAGCACACGAATATATATAAGCGCACATTCCATTAGTCATCATGATGATGGTTTCCTCACAAGTCATATGGTCACTGTGGAACACTGTACATGAGGGAGAGAATGAGCGTGGGGTAAAAAGGCAAATAACGTCTTAGTATTGTTAGGATCTGCTCCATAGTGTTTTCTTGGCTGTGACCCTTAGGGAAGCAAGGAAAACAGTTTTGACATTAACTGATCCCTTAAAAGGGTCTCCGACCTCCCATCCCCAGGTGTCCTGGGGTAGTTTGAGAACCGCTGTCTTTGTTGCCCCTTCTTAGAGTTAGAGCTTCTAGGTGTTGTCCGGGCCACAGCAAGCAGCCGGACACCCCTGGCCACGCCTAATAGCACCAGACAACATACCCTCGGGCGGAACGCTGGGAGAGCCCAGAGCTGCGCGCGCACCGCGGGTCTCCGACTTCCCGGCATACCTCGGGACTGCGGCGTGGACACGCACAGGCCGTAGCGTCCCACGTGACCCGCTGGACAGCCGTGGCGGGAACTCTGTGAGTGCGTGCGGTCGCAGGGTCGCTTGGTCTGTGCTTTGTGTACCCCGCGGGCAGCCCCGGGCCGGCCCTCGCCCCTGCTCTCGCCCGCCAGCCCGGAAGGAAGTCGGTGTGGGGAGAAGGGTTCCGGCCAGGTCCCCGCCCTCGCTCGCTCCTCGCCAGCTGGAGTGTCTGCCGGTGTTGTGGCCTCGCTCCGCGCCGGACCCTCCTCACCCCGAGTCCGCGGCCTGATCCCGACTGCGAACACTCGCCCTTCCTCGGCCGCACTTTAACACCTAGATGGGCCCTGGGCTTCATCCAAGTCCTTGGTGTTGAGTTAAGAAACGTTTGCAAGCATGTCCCGGATCGAAAAGATGAGCATTCTGGGCGTGCGGAGTTTTGGAATAGAGGACAAAGATAAGCAAATTATCACTTTCTTCAGTCCCCTCACAATTTTGGTTGGACCCAATGGGGCGGGGAAGACGGTAAGTCATGAGTAGCCGCCTTAGTTTATCGGGGGGTCGCCACACTTTAGGAATCCGTGAAATAAAATATCTCACTGGGGAATTCAGAACTCTGATTAGGAAGACCAGAGAAGTGCGCCCCTTTTGCCCCGGAGAGGGCCGGGGCGTGGCTTGGTGTGGCCTTCGGGTCTCTTGGACCTTCGGAATCGACCTCACCCAGCCATGTATGGGTGTGCGGCCTGTCCTGTGGACAAGGTTTATTTGAGAATCCCATTAGACCAGGATCGGCCTCGGTGAGCTCACAGCCTTAAAAGAAGCCTTTTCAACTGCATTGGTGTTATTTAACGGTGTCTTGATGCCAAAGTGTGGCATTCACTTCCCAGCAGTTGTCCCATACGGGACTTCTTTAAAAGTTATAAGAGGAGTTTGTAAGTATACCGACTCTGAGGATGTTAAACGGGAAGTAAATGGCTTAATTTTAAACTGACACTCATGTATTAGGGTTTGGTTAAGTTGGAAAACGGTATCTTGCTGTTAGGATGCCCTTACTCAGTCAAAATAAAAATTGGAGCAGAACTTATTTACTTACTGTGATTTTTTTAAAATTCCTGGGAATGATTAGAAATTTGAGTTGGTCTCTGGAATGGAATGCAGTTAGGTGAAAAGTATAGCTGAACGGCATTGTAGTCTGGAAGAATGATTTGAGAAAAGCAAAGTGGTACCTGTATAGCAGGGGGCAGAATCTAAACAGGATTTCTGAAAAGCATGTAGAAATAGATAAGATTTAGTGTTGAGACTTGAATGCGAACTACTCTCTACTTCTATTAGTTTATTTAGTAATGTTATTATTTATCAAGTGCCTATCATATACCTAAAAACTCATTGCTGTTGAGCCGTTTCTGATTCATAGTGACCCCTATAGGACAGAGTAGAACTGCCCCATAGGGTTTCCAAGGAGCAGCTGGTGGCTTTGAACTGCCTACCTTTTGGTTAGCAGCCATAGCTCTTAACCACTGCGCCGCCAGGGCTCCATTATGCACTTAGCTGGAAATGAGGGTAATACAGTGTTTATGAGCCCTGGCTTCCTGAATAGAAATTCTTACTTCATCATTTATGAGCTGTTTGATTGTGGGCAAGTGACCAACTGCTCTACGCCTCAGTTTTCTCATTTATAAAAATGGAGATAAAAATAGTTTCTACAGCCTAGGGTTAATGTGAGCATTAAATAGTGAATGTATGTAAAAGTGCTTAGAACACCTGGCTCTATATTAGGGTAGGGCTCAGCTCTATGTGTTAGCCATTGTTATTAACTTAAATAATTTTAAGGGTTTTCATTGGAAATAGAGAATCATTTTTTCCAAATAATAGTTATTTTATTTTAGGACAGTTTCATTATATAACTTTTCTGTGAACTTAAGCAATTATTCTTTAAACACTTAGTCGTATCTTTATTAAAAGTTTTATACCATCAAACATTATGTGATCATATCTTTTATACTCTCCATGGTAAATATTTTTATAATGAATGAATATTTTGTAAAAAACTTCTGTTTTAACTTCTCATAACTGAATAATATAATTTTCTATTTCTTTAGACCATCATTGAATGCCTAAAATATGTTTGTACTGGAGATTTCCCTCCTGGAACCAAAGGAAATACATTTGTTCATGATCCAAAGGTAATGGAGCTAGTAAAACTTTGTATTTCTGAAATGAAATTTTTTTAAGTTACAGAAACTGTAATAGCTCATTGTGGAAAACCTGGCATTGGAAAAGTATAGAGAGATATAAAAAGTCATCTCATATAGTCTAACTCCCTGTGATAACCACTGTTGACATTTTCATGTATTTTTTCCTCCTTCACATACTGTTTTACATAGCTGAGGTGCATGCTATCTGATTTTTTTTTCTTTTTCCACTGAATGTTATCATAAAATCCTATGTCATTAAAAACACTACAGTAAATTGTTAACCTGGATGTTTGGTACATGGATGCTTCTTTTAATCTTTATACTTTTTTATATGTCTGAAATATTTCCTACCTAAACTGTCTAATTTTTTATAAACTTTTTTTTCTAAATCCCCATTTCCCCCTCTCCCAAGCCCCTGGTAATCACTAATTTTCTTTTGTCTTAGAGGATTTACCTGTTCTAGATATTTCATGTAAGTGGGGTTATATATTTGTTCTTCTGGGTCTGACTTATTTCACTGAACGTAATGTTTTCAGGGTTCATCCATGTGGTGGCATATAAACATTTTTAATAGTTGCATAATTTTCTTACATTTAGATTGTTTTTAGTTTTTCATTAAAATGTATTATGATGGAAATCTTTGCATATGAATCTTTGATTTATGGTTTTTTATGTTGTCTATTAGTCTGTAAAGGATATAGATTTTCCTACACATATTTTGGCCTATAGCTTTTTCTTGTTTCATTTCATACACATATATACATATTTACACACGTATATATCCACATATATATAGTGAGTCATGTGCCTCTCTCACTACCTCTCTTAGTCCCTATGTTAAATTTTGTTGTATGTTTTTCCAAGCCTCCAAACTTTTTTCTGTGTTGACAAAAACACGACTTTGTGTGTATATAAATATATACTTTAATATACATATATTTTAATAAATCAATAGAATTTTATCATACCATTTTATTATACCATTCGAGCCAGATTCAGAAGAAGGCGTGGAAACAGGGATATCATTGCTGATGTCAGATGAATCCTGGCTGAAAGCAGAGAATACCAGAAAGATTTACCTGTGTTTTATTGATTATGCAGAGGCATTCATCTGTGTAGATTGTAACAAATTATGGATAACATTACAAAGATTGGGAATTCCATATCACTTAATTGTGCTCATGAGGAACTTGTACGTAGATCAAGAGGGAGTCATTGGAACAGAACAAGGGGATACTGCAAGGTTTAAAGTCAGGAAAGGTGTTTGTCATACGTTTTCAGTTCACCATACTTTTTCAGTCTGTATGCTGAGGAAATAATCTGAGAAGCTGGACTATATGAAGAAGAATGCAGCATCAGGATTGCAGGAAGACTCATTAACAACCTGCGTTATGTAGATGACACAGCCTTGCTTGCTGAAAGTGAAGAGGACTTGAAGCACTCAACTGATGAAGATTAAAGCCTCACTATGGATTACAGCTCAACATAAAGAAGACAAAAATCCTCACAACTGGACTAGTAAGCAGCATCATGATAAAGGAGAAAAGATTAAAGTAGTCAAGGATTTCATTTTACTTGAATCCACAGATCGACACCCATGGAAGTAGCAGTCAAGAAATAAAACAATGCATTGCATTAGGCAAATCTGCTGCAGAAGACCTCTTTAAAGTATTAAAGAGCAAAGATGTCAACTTGAAGACTAAGGTGTGCGTGACCCAAGCCATGGTGTTTTCAGTAGCCTCATACGCATGCAAAAGCTGGGCAATGCATAAGGAAGACCAAAGAAAAACTGACACTTCTGAATTATGGTATTGGCAAAGAATACTGAATATACCACAGACTGCCAAAAGAACGAACAAATCTGTCTTGGAAGAAGTACGGCCAGAATGCTCCTTAGAAGCAAGGATGGTGAGACTACGTCTCACATATTTTGGACGTGTTATCAGGAGGGATAAGTCCCTGGAGAAGAACATCATGCTTGGTACAGTAGAAGCTCATCAAAAAAGATGAAGACCCTCAGCGAGATGGATTGACACAGTGGCTGCAACAGTGAGCTCAAGCATAACAACAATTGTGAAGATGGCGCAGGACCAGGCAGTGTTTTGTTTTGTTGTACAAGGGTTGCTATGAGTCGGAATCAATTTGATGACACCTAACAACAGCAACAATGTTGCAGAAATATTATTTAGTGACATACCGTGGACCCGTTAGTATATATACACTTCTATTTTATTGTTATTAACTACTGAATAGTATTCTATTGGGTTGATATAGTTTATTTAATTGACCCCCTGTTGATGAACATTTAAGTTGTTTCAAATTGTAGGTGACTAACCAACTATGAAAGTATTTATGAATTTTCCTCTTAGAAACAATTCTATGTAGTACATTTATCCAGTTCTCTCTACAGTGACTATTTTTCACACTTTGTCTCTTCTTAAACCTATAATCTACCCTCCTCAGTTAAAGATATTTCCTCATACTTAGTTGAGAAAATAGGAGGAATCAGATGAGAATTTCTTCCTTTTCCAGTCATAAAATCTGCCCAACTACACTGCACATGTACTCATACTGTTTTTTCTCCTGTATTAAGGATGAATTGTTCATTTTCTCCTCAGTCTACTCCATTCATATTTTCTTCACTAAAACTGTGCTTGTAAGGTCACCAGTAACTTCCATGTTGCCAGACAGAGTGGTCAGTTTGCAATCCTCAGTGACTTGATTTCTCAGCAGATTTGATACAATTAATTATTCCCTTCTTTAAAAAACTTTGCTCTCTTGGCTTCTGTGACACCATAATCTCATGGTTTCTTCTTTTTTCACTGGCCACTCCTTAGTCTTTGCTGGTTCTTCCTTTTCCAGATTTCTAAATGTGAGCGTGCCCCAAAAATCAGTCTTCTACCAGGTACCCCTCTTTACCTCCTGTCTCCTTGGGTAATCTCATTTTAGTCTCATGGCTTTAAGTGCTGGTTATATACTGATAACTCCCAAAGTTATATGTTTAGTGCTAACTTCTTTACCAAACTCTAGATATATATGTCCAGCAGCGTATCTGGATATGTAATGGGCATCTCAGATTTAACATGTTCAAAACAGAACTCTTAGTCCCACCCATTACTCTCATGTTCTTAAACCTGCTACTACCTCAGTACTGTCCAGTTCAGTAAATAATAATATCATCCACATACTTGTTCAAGCCAAAACCTATTTGTCATCTTTGATTCATTTCTTCATCTTACCCTATTTCCAATTCATAAACAATTCCTGATTACCCGTCTCAAATATGTCCATAACTTGGCAATCTCATTCCATCTCCACTTCTCCTTTCCTGGTCCAAGCCATCACCATCTTTCCTTTGAACTAGTAGTTTCCTGACTTGTTTCCTTCATTTTTGAAGTCCTCTCTTTTTCACACAACAACCAGAGGTATCTTTTAAATATTCATTCATTCAGGAGGGAGTGAGACATTCAAAATCAAGGGGAACAACATTCCAGTCAGTCTTAATAATAAGTGCAAAGTCTCCAAGATGGGAACATGCTTGGTGTATTTAAGGAATCACAAGGAGGATCAAAGTGGCGAGGGAAAGAATGGTAGAAAATGAGGTCAGAGATGTAGAAGGGATTAGATCCTGTAGGACTTTGAGTTTTGTTCTTGTTTAAATAGGAATCTCTTGGAAGATTTTGAGCAGGGGAACAGCATGACCTGAGTTATGTTTTAAAACAGTCAGTCTGGCTGCTGAGAGAAGACTCTAGGTGAGCAGGGGTAGGAGTGCGGGAACTAAGGGAATTTGTGATAATCAAGTGAGAAATGTTGGTTTGATGAACATGGTAGTGGTTGAAGTGGTGAGAAATAGTTAAGATTTAGGATGTATTTTAAAGGTAGAACTAACGGATTTGCTAATGGTTTGCCTTTAGGAAAAGAAACAGAGTAGGAGAGAAATAGAAGCATCAAGCGTAACTCCTAGGTAAAATAGTGTTGCCATTTGTTGTAATGGGGAACTCTGGAAGAGGAGATTTGGGTGGATCTAGTTTGAACTTGTAAATTTTTGCTGGCTAAAGGAGATGTCCATGGGCAAATAGAAGTCTGTTTAGGGGGAGAGATCAGGGCTAGAGGGAAAGAAAAAAAAAGGAATCATTGACATACAGTTAGTTATAGCTAGTTTTTAAAGATTGGTGAGATCACATAGGGAGTGAATGTAGATAGGAAGAGATCCAAGGCCTGAACCTAGAGCACATGAGCATTTAGAAATCTGAAATAGGGAGGAACCAGGAAAAGGTGGTAAAAAAAATAATCAGTTAAGTAAGAAGAAAACTGGGAGAGTGGTGTCTTGGAAGACTAGTGAATAAAAAGAATAAAGTGTTAACTCAATTGTGTCAAAAATGTTGATAGCTCAAGTAAGAGGAGGGTTTGCCTGTGTGGAGGTCATTGGTGATCTCGACAACACCAGTTTGAGTAATCACAGAAAGCAGGAGGTAAGGATGTGAAATGCACAGAATTTCTTTTATGAATTTTACTGTAAGTGGAAACAGAAATAGGGCAGTAGCTGAAGAGGTTTGCAGGATCAAGGAGAGTTTTATTGGTTATCTTGTTGTGGTTTTTAAAGTGGGAGATAGTAGAGCATATTTATAGGCTGATAGGATGTAATCCTGGAGAGAGGGAAAAATTGATGCATTCGAGAGGGGGTAATTACTGAAGCAAATCGTTCAGGCTCTGAGTTACCTTATCAGACTTCCTTCTTATGTGGACCCTCTCCTCAGCTTTTCTTATGATATGAATCCCCATGCTATGCCTTCCCCCAGTGTGGACATCGTCCTCATTCTGAGCTGAATCGTCCCCACTCATGGATGTCCTTTTCATTCTGCTTGAACTCTGACACCTTTGGACTCTTGACATCCTGTGCCAAGCTTTCTTCCCGTGTGGATGCCCTCCTTAGCTTACTTGAGCTCAGTCATCCCACTCTGGACTGAACGACCACGTGCCACCTCCAG